TATCCTTGAGCTGAAGAGCTGAGGGACAGAGGGACAGCGCCCAGGCCCAGAGTTCAGGCCCCACGACCAGACCCGAAAAAAAAAAAAAAAGAACTAGAAAGGCTTGTAGGTTTGTAAAGTCAAGGAGAGATGTTTGCATGTGTTAGCTAGCCCAGAAAATCTGGGACATACATAGTCACCAGTCTAGGGCTTACACTTAGAACTGATATGCTCTTTTTCTCCCTCAAAAAGCCCATGTAGTAACTAAAATATGTGGCTAGGAAAATGCAGTAAAGGACGAAGGTAGCTTACAGAGCGTCTAGTCCACCCGCCTCACATAACACCCCTAGCCAAACACTGTTATGAACACTCAGCCTCCCCATGTAAAATTCTTAAGGCATTGGTATATTGAGGCTTGGTATATTCCTTCTGGAATCTGCCCAATTATTACTGAGCCCTGTGGTTTCCCATGCAGAGCAAGGAGACATCCCCGCCAATTCCAGGCAGAGATATGAATGGAGAACATAGTTCTTTCATCCTAAAAAAAAAAAAATCTAAAAGGAAATTGTTTCTGCCTTTGCGTGGACTATTGGATTCCTACTCCTGTTCTTTGGAACACACACAAAAAAATGTTTCTTACTAACTCATAGACATGACCCCTTCCTGGGGATTTCTCCTTTATCTTTCCTGTCCTGACTCAGTTCTCTACTTGACTTTCACTAGCTGAGAGACCTCAGGCAGAATCCGGCTCCCTGCCTGGATCCCTGGGTGTGTGGGTTGAAAAGCCTGTGTTTGTTCTCCTTCCCCTTTCTCTCAGCATCAGACCCTGAGTGTTGTCCTATCAGCCTGGATCCAGAGACCAGCCCTTGCAGTAGTGACTTTGAGGAAACCATGGGCAAGAAGCTGCTGAGAACCTTGAGTGAGTAGCTCCTCCCCCAGTCCTGAGTCCCTCCCCCAGTTACTAGGAATGGCAACACACCGGGATCTTTCTCCAGGGCAAGAGCTGCTGGCTCCTTTGGGGAAACCCTAATGAGGTTCAGTTGCACAGTAGGGCTTCAGCCAGTACTGCACCCTTGGATTTGTGTCGCTCAGTGGGTGATCCTCTAGGAAAGGAGTCTGCAAATTTGTCCTGGCCCTGGGGTCAGATTTTGACCTCCCTCCTCCACCTTTTACTATAAGTAAAGATTTAACAGGCTGTAAATCCATTTGTGATTTGTGACCTCAAAGATATTGATGAGCAGTTTGACAGAGAGACCTTGTAGCCTACAAAACCTTTTATAATCTTTACCATTTGACCTTTTGAAAAAAAATGTATCCAAGGGACTCCATAAAAGAGAAAACAAAATCCTCCTTAGGTGTAGTATGGCAGAAAGCAAAGGTGAAAATATTCCTTCCTGGAAACAGGAGAGAGGGAAACAGATGGCTCCATATCCTTAGGAAAATGATGTAACTACTGTCATCTGTCCCAGTGGAGAAGGGAGGTTATTTCAGAATCCCCAGGAATGGCACCCAGCTCTGCCCACCTACCCTGGCATGCTAATGACTACAAGTCTGGTCATTACTTGGGGTATCAGGCAGCCGGTGGGCCTGGGGCCCTCCGGAGACAGCCTGTTCCTAAGGCATTCCACAGGTTTTACTCAATTCCCACTAAGAAGTTTTTATGTAGGCATTAGCCTGAGTTTGTGGCCTCTCAAGGTGTCATCTTCTGTGGAAGATGCTTCAGGAGGTAAATCTACTACATGAACAGCAGACGGCCGCTGAGCCCAGCAGCCCAGGTCTTTGCCTCCATTTCTGCTGCTGTTTTGAAGAGAAATCAGCTTGCTGAGAGGGTGTCCATGTCCTCTCAGTCCTACGGGCTGATACCAACTCATGTTTTGCAGGTGGTCGAAAACGGAAAAGGTCAGCAGATGGAGAGAGAACTTCCGAGGAAAACTCCAATTTAAGGCCTCTGATCACATGACCAGGCGAACTGGCTGGGTGTGTGAGAGTCCAGGGCTTTGGGGGAGGTCCCACCCTCTCAGCATCTGCTTTCCTCCCCAAGGCCTCCCACAGGTGACAGAGCACTCTGCCTTCCTTTCCACCTCTTCATCCCTAGCTGTCAGTTTGGCAGATTGTTTTCCCCCTGGTCGCCTCCAGTTCAACTCAGAGTCTTGCCGTGGCCATCTCCTGGTCATGTCCACAGCACAGTCTGGGGCTGGAAAAGAGAGAAGCCCAAGCTGACATTGCCACTCTGGGACACATGAGACTCATTTTTGTTCTTTAGGGGCCCCAGCGCCCTAGAGACTCATGTCCTGGAACTCACCATTCTGCCCTCGAGAACAATGTGATAACCTTTCTGTCATAGTTCATGCTTAGCCTGGCTCCGAAGGTAGCATGGTAGACAGGCACAGGAGAGGCTGGTATAATAGGTATGAAGATGGGTTCCAAGAGACGGACCAAGAACTCGTCCAGAACTTTACAGTGTCGGGTGCAGTTGAGCTGGCCCATGTTTGGCATCACAGCAAAGAAGCCATTGGTGACTGGTTCCCTGTTAGTAAGGGCTTTGGCAGCCTGGGGAAGTGAGATTCAGCACTGGAAAGAATGTGGGATGGAGCCTCAAGTCACTGGTGTTCTTTTTCCCCAGGGATGTATTGGTTTTGGCTCCCAGCTAGCAGTCATGAAGTAATCGATAAATCTGTTCTGCAAGAAGAGGAGTAGGAGTCAGAGAACCTAGTCAGGAGCCAGAAGTGGAACTTCAAGTTTTAAGTGAAAAGCAAAGCAAAGCAAAAGAGAAAAGACAAAAAAAAAATTATAAGGAAAAGTCTTAAGCTGTTAAAGTGGATTTAGCCATGACAAACCAAAGAGTGCCCAGCTCAGTCAGGAAAGACATGTATTCTCAAGGAACGTCATTGTGTGTTCTTCAGGAACATTGAAGAATCGCTCTTTTCATTGACCACGCCCCTTCCCCACCTCCACCACTTACTACCACCACCGCCCCCCAGGTGGTCAGCTAAGTACTTTATCCTAAGAATCTACTAGCCTTCTCCTGGAGGTTAGGGCAGGTGCAATCCCAGGCACAACCACAAGATGGCAAAATGACTGCACATGCTGACTTCCAAGAATGAAATGTTCAGATTGCAGCCAGTCTAAAGGAAAATGTAGAACTAAGTTGGTCTTTGGGTTTGTTTTTTTTTCTTACCCCTTAGATATTCCTCCCCCTATCCCATACCCAGTGATCCAGTGGTGCCTGCTGAATCTGCAAACTACTTCCAAATTTCTCCCTGTGGCAAATATCATATAGGCTTCCCTCCATTTCTTCCAAAACCATCACTGTCCTTCTACACCCAGTCAACCACAAGGTAGTAGGTGATTGATCTTTCCTCTGGGTTATTTGCACTACAAAGAAAAATGCTTGCCCACTGGAACTTTTAACTCAGGGGTTATGAACCTGGGGTCCAGTATCCCAGGAGGTCATAGTCAGACTTCAGCGGGTCTATGAGTCTGTGAAACCCTTAAAAGTGTCACAATTTAGTATATGTGTTCTTGTATATTTTCCAGAGTTAAACTTTCCTACGATTCTCAAAGTCCTCAGACCCACAAAGGGTTTAAAAAAAAAAAGAAGCAAAACACTATTTAAAATAGTGGAACTTTTAGCCCAGTGTTTCTGCAATGCAGAGTGAATTCTGAGCATTATGAAGTAAGTTAGTCTTAAGTGGCCAAATGCCCCTCTTGAATGGGGAAGGCTGGCACCAAGAAGTGAGTCCTCAAATTCTTGGCACACCTAGAGTATTCTACAACCTATACCCCATACAATGTTGGCCTCATCCCCACCAACCCAGAGCAGGTGCTGTGGTCAGGAGAACCCGGCACACCATGGGAGGAAGGACTGGAGCTAGAGAGACCTCTGCCAGCAATGTGTCACTGGCTCCCACAACCCCCTGGCCTGGCCAATCTGAGGCTCAGCTGTCGTGCATGTGTTCTCCTAGCTACCTCCTCAGCCACCATCCTCCCCCTCCACACACACACACACACACACACACACACACACACACACCTGCTCTTGCCTGGTAGAAATAGTTACCACCTCAGTGCTAGGTGCCTCAGACTCAGACCAGTAGGTGGTGAGTTTTGAGCAAGAACTGCCATCCTACAGGCTTCTTGCCAAGCTAGTCACTGGCCCAAGGTACAGCTTGCCTGGCTAGGCTCCTTGTCATTTCCCCCTTAGGCTGCCAGGTTCAGGCCACTGCTGTCCCATTCCATCCATCCCCCTGCAAAACCCCAATGAGCCTGTCACCACCCCTCCCTTCCCCTGTCCCTGACTCTGATTTTCTTCAGGTTAAAAAAAAAAAGTTTAAAACTAATTTTAAAATAAAACATTTATGAAAGGCTCAATAAATTATAAATACTTTTGAAATAAAATGAAAAATTCCTTTCCTGGAATGTGGCTGTTTTCCTTGGAAATGTTGGGGCTCCAAAGTGTTAGCATTTGAGAAGCAAGTTGGACTACATACCTTTGTAAATACTTTACCTGGAGTGCACCTGCCTAGAGGGTCCGCCTCTCCAGGTGTGAGACTGAAGTCAGGTGACAGGTGACTTTGGAGCCCAGAAGGTTCTGCTTTTGTAAGAGTGAATGCCAGCAGAGGAAGGAAGAACCCAAGGGCAAATAAGAGACAAGGGGAGGGTGCTGAGGATAGTGAGAAGGTTGGCATTCGCAGAGGCCACGTGATAGGTGCAGGACTATGTTGGGAGCCTTCCAAGTTCAAGATCTTGAGGACCAGACCCAGACAAACCCAGAGTCTATGTGATGGTCACATGGCTCCCTTCTGGAGACCCTTTGGAAGGAAATCGGGGTAGCAGGACTCTAGCAGTTTAAACCAAAGTCTTGGGGAAAACCAGGAGAGGGGGCCAGGCCTAAGGATGATGAGCTGTAAAGCAATGCAGGAGGCGGCGAGGTGTGTGGGGCACTGAATGTCTTTGTGGAAGGAAAGTTGGAATCTGATACTATTCATTTTTAAAACCCGCAAATAGGATGATGAGTGGCCAAGGCCAGAACAACTTCACATTCTTCCCAGGAGGCTCAGCGGAAGTATTCTTTTCATTACAGGTAATTGCAGCAACTATTATGCTAAAATTCTATTAGGTCATTTCTTTCTCAAAACCATCATGAAGGTGTTACTTGAGAGGTTGGCCAACTTGCTCAAAGTTTCCCAATCAGGAACTGCCAGAACCTGGAGCTTTGAGTGTCCTGCCTCAGAAATCCACATGCAATGGCACATGACAAGCACTAAAAGTCCAGCCCTCCTCAGACTTCCAGAGCCACAGACAGAAGGAGACACACACTGACCAAAATCAGGTAAGGACACAAAAAAGCCAAAAACCTAGTCCACTGCTTTAATGCTAAAATAATTTATTTCAACCCAATGCAGTAGCTCAAGTCTAATCCTAGCTACCTGGGAAGTAAAGATCAGGGAATCACAGTTCAAGGCCAGCCCAGACAGGAAAGTTCTCACGTCTTCATCTCAACCAATAGCTGGACACAGTGGTGGACTCCTGTCATCCCCAGTGACCGAGCAGCACAAGGAGAGGGACCGCAGTCTAGGCTAGCCTGGGCATAAAATGAGCCTCTTATCTTGAAATTAGCCAATGTAGAAAGGTGCTGACGTCCTAGATCAAGTGGTACAGTACCTGCCTAAAAAGCACCAAGGCCCAGAGTTCAGTCCCCAGTACTGGAAAACAAAAAACAAAACCCATTCTTTCCTAATGTTTAATGGTCTTTTCTCTCCTAGAGAAAAATGAAATTCTAACAAGAGAATTTAAAAACTAAGATTTTGTCAGATAAGATTATACCTTGCCAGGCTACAGGTGATTTACTCTATCAAGATTGGTTTTGCCCCTAAGAACCAAGCTTTGCCCCAGCAGAGGTACCCTTGTCCCTGTGGAGAGCAATGGTTTAAAGATATATTTGGGAAATGACAAAAGCGGGACTCACATGGCTTCTCTGTTGACTGCCATCTTTACTGACAAGCATCTTTAAGTCAGAAGGAGAGTAACAATATGGAGGAAATGAGATGGCAGGACTCCGCCCCCACCCACCAGCCCAGTCACACACCTGCACACGGAAGGCCTGAGATGATAAAGGATATGTGGTAACTGAAGACAGTGGAGCAGGGTTCACATGAGCAAGCATAAACAAAGATTGCAGCACATACTTTCATATAGTACACAGGTCATCTGCATTTAGTCCCTGTATTTCCTATCTGGTTAGAAGTGAAATGGGAAGAGTAAAGGGAACCAGACACATGTAGATCACATTGTAGCTCAAGGTAAAAGATATTTTTTAATGAAGGAACCCTACCAATAGAATGGGATACCTCACCAAGGATAGAAAGCATTTGTCACAACCACCCCAGTTGAGAGGGAGGAGTTGGAGACAATCTGGAGAAACTCTCAGTAGGGGAGTGGCTGGCCTTGGTGATGTCTAAGATTCGTTCATCTTATAAGACTAGAGGATTTAATAACTCAGAGTCCTTCAGAAGGGAAGATGCTGTTTTAAAATATTGTGCAACTCCCAAGTAATCACCCTTTTGTTTTAAGCAACCCCACCAAAACCCACCACTTGGAGAATCTCTGGGGGTGTTTGGAAATTGTGATCTATGTTTAAATGGCTATGATTGCTCCAACAGACTAGGAGGCCCTCCAACTCATAACTTCATGAGTTCATGAAGTCATTTTTTTAAGAAATGTAAGACAAGCCCGGTGGCTCATACCTGTAATCCTAGCTACTCAGGAGGCTGAGATCTGAGGATCACAGTTCAAAGCCAGCCCAGGCAGGAAAGTCCATGAGACTCTTATCTCCAAATATCCACTCAAATGGAAGTAGAGCTGTGGCTCAAGAGGTAGAGTGCTTGTCTTGAGCTGAAGAGCTCAGGGACAGCACCCAGGCCCAGAGTTCAAGTCCCATAACAAAAACAAACAAACAAAAAA